CCCCCCCCCCACATGTTGAAGCTCTAACCCCCAGTGCAACTGTATCTGGAGCTGGGTTTTTTTTAAGGAGGTAATTAAGGTTAAATGAGGTGATAAGGGTGGTGTCCTAATCTGATGGCATTGGTGGCCTTGTAAAGAGAAGAGAGGGATATCCCCCCACCCCCCGGGGCTAGGGCACATGCACTGGCACCATGTGAGGACACAGGGAGAAGGCGATGTCTGCAAGTCAGAGAACAGAGCCCTCACCAAAACCCAACCATCTCTGGCACCTGACCTCACACTTCTAGCCTCCAGAACTGTGAGAAAATGAATTTCTGTTATTTAAGCACCCAATTTGTGGTATTTAGTTATGGCAGCCTGACCTGACTAAGACAGGAGGTCAGAGAGGGCTTCATGTAAGAGTGGACCTTTGAGCTGCACTTTGAAGGATGAGCAGGAATTTGCTAGAAGGACAGGTGGACAGAACAGCAGGTGCAAAGGTGGAGAGGCTGTGAGCGCATGGTGTGTTCTGGTAACAAAGGACAAGACGTTTGCCTGGCTGGAGTGCAGGGATTGCCAGGGAGGGGCTTAGATAAGGCTGTATCTGAGGATGGAGCTGGATTTATGGCCAAGGCCACTCCAGGTGAAGGAGAGAGCCTATCTCACGGGCTTTTGCTAACCAGCTTTAGCAGGGGAGCAGTGGGGGATCCAGCCCTTGGGGTCACGTCACTCACCTCCTTCAGCTTCCTGTGACCTCCCCTTGCACTGATGTCTCAGCGTGGCCACGAGGCCTGCATAATGTGGCTCCCACATCTCCTAGCTACTCCTCAGATTCTCCTTGGCTTCCAGCTGTGCTCTTTGCTAAGCCAAGTGTCTCCCAGCCTCAGGGCGCTTCCCTTTGCTCTGGACTCTTTCTGTCATTTGAGTCTCCCCTTCCTGAAGAGGTCCCTTTTGGGCTTCGAGAGCACAGCAGCGGCCCCTCCCTCGCCACTCTTTAGGCCATTATGTTTTATTTTCCTCATAGTAGTCTCTGGAAAATGGTCTTGTTTACTTATTTTACTTGTTCCCTGTCTGTTTTCCCCCACTAATGCCAGCTCCACAAAGAGAGGACCTTGTCTGTCCTGTTCTGCTTATTTCCAGAGCTAGAACAGGCCTTGGCACATGGAAGAGCCTCAAATATTTGCTGACTGGACAAGAATGGATTCTATTCAAGAAAATTCTTCCCCGGCAATCCTCCCAGAACTCAGTTTGTTCCCAAGCCTAGGAGGGCTGCTCAAGGGTGACCCCAAAGGATGCTGGGGAAGACCCGGCCCTTGGGTCAGGGCTCCCCAAGGCAGGTCCATCAGGAGCCTCCTAAAGCTGTTCCTGGCAATACTGCCAGAGCCTGGAGAGTATACACAGTGCCTTTGGGCTAACTCGAAAGAAGTCCCCTCAGGCAGATGCAGACCCCTGGGGCTTGGCTGAGCAGAGAGTGCCTTTGCCAGGAGGAAAAGGGCCTCTTTCTCTAGAGAGGTGCAGCCCAGCCAGGACACAAGGCTTGGTGAGCTGAGGCCTCCTGAATTAGGCTCATTCGTGTAGCGACAACTTCTCAGCTGGACAAGACAGCCCTGAACCCCACCCCCATCATCCTTGGCTTCAGAGCATCCCTGTCATCTGGAGGGCACTGCTGGGAGGGTGCCCAGGAGAGCAAGACTTAGTCCTTGGACATGAAACATCAGGTCCACCTGGGAGAACAGGCCTGCCTCCTGCAGGCTCACCTGGGAGGCAGTGGCTGCCCCAGCATGTAAACCTGACAACCCTACTGCTTAAGACATGGGGCCGGGCTCCTGGAGCCCACTTCTTCTCTTGACTGATTGCAAGGATTCATGCCTCAGGATGCATCTTAAAAAACAACAAACAAATAAAACTTAAATAAAGTGAGAAACCAAATAGTTTGAAAATCAAAACAAGAGTCTTTAAGTGCTGGTTCATAAAGGCCTCGATTCTAGC